CCCCAAAACCCCAAAACCCCAAAACCCCAAAACCCCACTTCTTATCCAAATGGTTGAAAATAATAATAAATAATTTTCAGCCATAAATGTATTCTATCGGGAGGAGATTATTCTCTTACTTCGCAAGAGACAAAGTTTCAAAGTTTACTCCAGAAAAGATCCGTAATTTTTCAATAATTGCCCATATTGATCATGGCAAAAGCACTCTTGCCGATCGGATTCTAGAGATGACTGGAAATATTTAAGAAATTAGAGAAAAATGATCAACATCAGGTGCTTGACACATTAGCAGTTGAAAGAGAAAGAGGAATCACGGTACTTGCCCAGACGGCTTCAATAATAACGAAATATCAAAATGATGATTATTTATTAAACCTAATTGACACACCTGGCCATGTAGATTTTTCATATCAAGTCAACAGAAGCTTAAGAGCTTGACAGGGAGCAGTACTCCTTGTAGATGCTACTTCAAGTATTCAGGCACAAACCTTATCAAATTTGCAGAAAGCTAGAGATGCTAATTTAAAAATTATTCCTGTTATCAATAAAGTAGACCTTGACTCAGCAAATATTGAGAAGACCTATGAAGATCTTGTGTTACAACTAGACTTTGATGAAGATGAAATCTTAAAAATTTCAGCTAAGACAGGTCTAAACTGTGATAAACTTATTGAGAGAATCATTACAGATATTGAATATCCTAAAGGAGATCCAGAAGCTGCAGCCAGAGCTTTCCTCTTCAACGCTGATTATATTGGAGATAGAGGTGTAAAATGAATGATTCAGATGATAGATGGCGAGATTGATCTCGCAAGAGACCGTAGTATCCATTCCTTCCATAAATCTAAATAAGTATGATATGTTTGAGGTTGGGGTAGTCACTCCTGAATTAGCTCCGACTGGAATTTTAAAGACAGGACAAGTTGGATACTTTTTATCAAATATGAAATCAATCAAGGATGCTCATATTGGAGATACTTTCTATCTCACAGGATCGAGGGACAGTATAAACCCTTTCCCAGGATATGAACCTCCTCAATGAATGGTTTACTCTGGAATTTATCCAGAATCTGCAGAGGAATACGAAGCATGTGAAAAAGCAATTCAATCATTGTTATTGACAGATGGAAGTATCTCTTTTCAATATGAGAATAGTGCAGCTCTGGGAGGCGGCTTCAGATTAGGTTTTCTGGGAATGCTTCATCTTGACATTTTCCGACAAAGGATCAAAGATGAGCATGGTATCGAAGTGATCATCACTCATCCTAGTGTAAACTATAAATGCCATTTAAGAAATGGAGAAATGATAGAAGTTGACAATCCAAACGAATCTCCTGATGCAGCAATGATCGATTATTGGGAAGAAGCTATATGAGATACGACTATTATGGTCCCAAGAGAATATTTAGAAGCTATAGGATATTTAGGGCTCCCTTATTATCAGGAGTTCCTTGAAGAGCAAATTATATGAAAGTACAAGATCCCTCTAGCTGAAATGATAGGAACTTTCTTTGATCAACTGAAATCATCAACTTCCGGTTATGCATCAGTAGAATACAAAGTAATTGGATATGAACCATGAGAACTTTCAAAAGTAGTATTCCATCTTAATGGTGAGCCAGTAGATGCTCTATCATTCCTAGTGTATACCAACAAAGCAAGAGAATTCTCTCTATATTATGCCAGGAAGTTGAAAGATATTCTACCTCCTCAGCAATTTGCTGTTGCAATCCAGGCAAAGATTGGAGGGAAAGTAATTTGTAGAGAAACAATCAGAGCTCTGAGAAAAGACGTAACTGCTAAACTTTATGGAGGAGATAACACAAGAAGGACAAAATTACTCGATAAACAAAAGAAAGGAAAGAAGTTAATGAGACAACTTGGAAAAATTAACGTTAACTCAGATGTATTTTTCAAATTACTCAAAAGATAATTAATTTATCCTCATATTCAACCACACAAAATATCCTCGGGGTTTTGGGGTTTTGGGGTTTTGGGGTTTTGGGG